AAGGAAAGAAGAGAGTTATAAGAAAGGCTTAGAATTAATTGAATAATTAAGGTATAGATATAAGGACAAAGATTTAGGAAGTTTAATAGATGGAGGGTAATTGGATAATTAGAGTATTTATAGGATCTAATTTAATATTTTATTTTATTAAGACATTAGTGATATTTCGAATTAATCCTTATTTAATTCTTATATATAATTAGGTTGAATAAGAATTATCGTGTAAATATTGTTGAGATAATAAAACGTTAAAACCTGGTAGGAAAGAGCTGTTTTATATTTTGTGGATAATATAAGAAAATATTAAAGTATAATTCATGGGAAAAATGTGAATGTTATGTAAATAGAAATGAGATAACGTAACATATATTAGTAAATGTTTTATACTAGTGTTAATTTGGGGGTGATGTTATGTTATTTTTTAAAAAGATGTAATGTAACACGTATTATAGTATATGTTTCGTAATGTAATGGTAAGATGAAAGGATATTGATTTTTTAGATTATTGATATAATATTATGTGTAAAAGGAAAAGAGAAGTAAAAGTTATTGTAATGGAGAAATATCGTAATAATATATTTAAATGGAAATTATATTGAAATTAGTAAGGGATAAGATTTTGTTGGAGTTGGTTAAATAGATAAATAATTGGCGGGGGTTATATTTATAATTAAGGTTAATGATTGTATAGAAGAAATTCTGTTTTGTAGTTTTGTAATGTAATTTTGGTTTATTTTTGATTTAAATTGGAGGTTTTGGAAATGTTGTGATTTAAAGCATTGTTGAAAATTAATTGTATTTATATTTGTTTGATATTGGATAATGGTTATGGTATAGGTGGGTGATTTTAAATGTAATTTTGGTTTATTTTTTATTTAAATTGGAGGTTTTGGAAATGTTGTGATTTGAAGCATTGTTGAAAATTAATTGTATTGATATTTGTTCGATTGTTTTTTTTTGATTTATGTCAAATAAATTGTCTTATGTAGATGTTGATAGTGATGAGGGAAAATGGAAGGAATGTATGTTTGTATATATATAATTTAGTATTAATATGTATAATGTAAAAAAAAAGAAGAAAGAAGATAATATATATTTAATGTTAATGAGTGATTGAAAAAATATAAATATTCTTAGACAATTTATTTGGTGGTAACCAATTAGAATATAGTGTTTTTAAATAATTTTTGGAATGGATGTAGCAAGAAATGATTTTATATTTATGTATAGTTTTTGAAAACAATGTGGATGATGAAGAATGGTAATGGGCAGATGGGATTTGGTCGAATGAATGGAATGGTATGTTGTTAGACGAATGATTGGAATGGTATGATGCTGGATGGGATTTGGTCGAATGAATGAAATGGTATGTTGTTAGATGGATGATTGGAATGGTATGATGCTGGAGGAAATACATATATATGGATCATGCAATGATATGGAATTGGGATGATGTTGAATGGTAATTGGCAAATGGGAGGCAGATTGGATTTGGTCGAATGAATGGAATGGTATGTTGTTGGACTAAGATTGGAATGGTATAATGCTGGAGGGTGAGTATGAGATGGAAAAATGAAAAATTGTTTGTAAAGGGGGGAAGTGTCTTGATGACGTTGAAGAAGTTATGGGCTGTCAATTTATATTAATATATAGTTTTATATAGAAATACGTATATGTAAATCTTATTCATTAAATACAAGATATTCTTTTTCATTATATGTGAATCTTATTCATTAAATACAAGATATTCTTATTTGTAGTTATATTTGATAGAATCTTTACAATAAATACCAGAAAATATATAAATATCATGTTTAGGATCTAAAAATAATTCATAATCTTAGACAATAACAATTTATTGTGAAAATATTTATTGCTCTAGATTAAACTATTTTATGTAAATCATTTTTATAATTTATTTAAAAATTAATATTAAACATAATATTTAATTAAAAATATACTAAATATTTACCATATCAAAATAATAGTATTTTATTGATAATATTTAAAGAAGGTAGAGTTTAACTAATGGCCATATATATTAATATAATATACAAAAAATTAGTATTTATAAATTGATAATATATACCATGTTAATAATTTAATTTATTGGGAAAAATTTAATATATTTATTATTCTAGATTATATCGAATAATAATATTAAGAATAATTTATAGAGATCATTTTTATTATATATTTAAAAAATTAACAATAAATATAATATAATTATTAATAATATACTAAATATTTAATTATTAATAATATACTAAATATTTACTATTATTATTAATATTGTAGTAATAGATATATATTTTAATCTATGACTTTTTTAGTGGAGTGATATATTATGGGAACATTTGGGCGATTCCATGTCAAATCGATCAAAAAAAGCAAATTTTAGGCCGACCCCTTGTAAAATTGTTAAAAATTTCTGGAATTATTTAGATAGATATATAAATGAGAAAGCCGTTTATTTTAGCTCGCTAGCACACCTGGTTCTCGAGATATAGGGGTTCAAAAGTGCAAAAAAGAGCCACTTTGGAATCTGTAAAATTTTTAAAATGCTTAATCTTAAAAACTATTTACAGTGAAAAAATGTATAATATATCATATTCAGCGTCTACATGACAGAATTTTCATTGGATGCATACCCCCTTCAAAAACCTTTGCCTACCCCCCTAAATAATTTACCACCTGCCAAATATCAATATTTTGCATATATAAAGGATTTATTTTGTAAATATAAAGGATTTGTTTTGTAAATACAAAGGATTTATTTTGTAAATACAAAGGATTTATTTTGTAAATACTAAGGATTTATTTTGTAAATACAAAGGATTTATTTTGTAAATACAAAGGATTTATTTTGTAAATACAAAGGATTTGTTTTGTAAATATAAAGGATTTATTTTTTAGATAAATTCAATTAAAACCTCGATTATTTACAATGAATTCATTATTATAGGATTATGAGCTTGCTTAAATATCTAAACCTTTTAAATTACATTTAAAAGGATAGTAGAATTTGGAAAACAATGTATATGATTGTTTGCAATATATAGATTTGGTCGATGAATTGTATTATAATAGTTCTATAATAAAAGTATTAATTTCTACAGCAATAAATTTATCCTATTTCATCTCATTTAATAGATAACCCCCTAAAAAATTTATCCTACCCCCATTAAAGCCGCGTACCCCCTACTCACCTCAAAAAAAATAGGATGCAAACTGTTCCTACCCCTCCCGTTCATGTAGACTCTGATCATATTGTAGGTAAAAAAAATCTCTAAAGGGTTATCAAATAACAATCAAATTGGCGCTAGTTTGAATCTTTAACCTCCGATTTACCTATATTGCTTCACCTGTATTTATAAGCAAAAAAGGGAGTTTGTTTTAGAATTTTTTTATTGCTTTATATTTAGACACATTTGCTAATATATGTATGATGTCAAAACCTTGGCGACGCTATCGAATTTTCCGAAATATTTTACCAAAAATTGAAGATAAAAGTAGATGGCGCTAATGGTTGAAAAATATTATTCTTAAGGAAAATGAAAATATTGATACGTTTATAAGAAATGTGATAAAATTTTCCAGTTATGCCCCCCCTCCCTAAATAGTTTTACATTTTTTAGATATTTTGCTACTATATAGAGTAACTTATTAGCTCGACAATGTATATCAGCTGCAGTAAAAACGAATATTTTATTAGGCATATTATCGATTAAATTTTACAAACCCGATTGCAGCTTATTATTATATCGTCTGTCTACCAATAACATTATGGTTTTGGAGAGTGCAAAATCATGTATTCTAAGATGCAGATCAACTAAAATATTATTCTACATCACAGATGGACGTACCAAATATGTTGCAACCCATTTAATCTACAGAAACATGCTTATTATCGCGAGAATCTAAGAAAGACTCTACCCCGGATAACCCAAAAAAATTTACCATTCAATTTAGATTATTAATATGCTCTTCATGCCGACAAAAGTTAACAAATATTGTTTATACTTCAAATGGTAGATATTGATTCTCCCCCTCATATAATTAATCAAGAGGCTGATAAAATTAATATATCCCTACAATCAAATGGGGAATCTCTCATTAAAAGAAAACGCTTATGTGAAAAGAAATATTCGAAGAAAAAAATATCTAGAGAAAAGTTTTAACGACTAAAATTATACCATTATCTTCAAATGATAAAAAATTCGATGAAATTCTAGATACCTTAGAAATTAAAAAAATTATATGAAAGATATTTATTATTGGAAATTTATTACACTATTAAGTGTCTAATGGGCATTTGCCCACTCTGCTCCTCAGTTTAATTAGTATATTTAATAGAAATTCAAAATTTTTTTAGTATAAAAAGTGAAAATATTCGGTTATTGATAAGTTAGCAGCAAAATCTTAACCATAATCCGTAATTTCATAAACCGCCATCTATTTTTTTCATTAATATTTGGAGTCGATAGCGTCGCCAAGGTTTTGATATCGTATATATATTTAGCAAAGGTGTCTAAATAAAATTCAATAAAAATATTTCGAAAAAAAACTCCCTTTTTGCTTAAAAACACAGGTAAAGCAAAATAGGTAAACCGGAAGCTAACCGCTCAAATTGGCTCCAATTTTTATTGTTTTTTAATAGCCCTTTAGAGATTTTATTTACCTTCAATTTGATACATGATATATTATTTTACTATAAATAAATTTTGAGATATAAGCATTTTAAAAATTTTACAGATTCCAAAGTGGCTCTTTTTTGCACCTTTGAGCTCCAATAACTCGGGAACCAGGAGTGCTAGCGAGCTAAAATAAACGGCTTTCTCATTTTCTTAACTATATAAATAATTTCAGAAATTTTTAACAATTTTAAAAGGGGCCGGCCCAATCGTGATCGATTTGACGTGGAATGGCCCATTTATATATTTTTTATTTTTCGCTATTTTAGTTTTCGCTGTTTCGTACCGAATTAAATTAAATTAATAACGTTCGACGTTATACATCTTACCCATTTAATATATCCGTAATGTCTTGGTTATTTGGGTTTAATAGGAATTCTCCAAATGTTGAACATAAGCCAACTTTTGTATCAACTCCTACAGAAAATTATGAATCTAAAATTAATTCAAACAAAGGCATGGAAACCTACCGCTTTGATTCTTCAGCATTAGAAAGAGCCGCTAAAGCTGCAAAAGAGCTTGAGTATTCAAGTGAGATGGCATGTTATGTATATTGAACTGAGAATTATATTAAATCACATAATAAAAAAAATATTACATCTTAGTATTATAATTTTACATTATAGAAAATGCTAAAGAAGCCTTGGAATTAGCTAAAGCCCAAGAGTTGACATGGCAAATGGAACATCAAAATAAGATTAAAGTAAAATATTTAGGAAAATTATATATGTATGGAATCCATATGGATATGGAATTTCAATTTTAAATCAAATAATTTACTGATAGATTTTTAAATTTTAAAAATCAAATTTAACAGGAACAGTATATCAGCTTATATAGGGTACTCACTGGGAATTTCAGGCAATTATATCTTGAACCAATGAACTAGTTGTAATTTATATTGATTTTTATATGGATTATTCGCATAAATTAATAAATAAGAAAATTTTATACCAAAAATTGTCTAAAATTAATAGGGTAAGTACTCTACATATGCTGAAATATATTTTGGATTAAACCAGAATTTTAAAATTTGAGATTCAGAATTCCTTTGGATTCTATATCCCAATACAATATATATATATATATATACTGAAAAATGTATTTTAAAATTTTTTAATAGTATATTATATGAAATAATTTATAAAAAGGAATATGAATTGAATATTGAGCAAATGAAGATAGAGCAGCAAAAAATTTACTATGAGGAAAAGCATAAATTGATTGCGGAAGAAACCAAACAGAGCCAACAAGTTAGTTTTTTAAAATTGTCTAGATTAAATGCTAGTTTTTATTTTATTTTTAATTTATGTAAATTAACGAAGGGCAGGTTATATACTTTAAGGCTTCATCCCCAAAACACCATTGTATGAACCCTTATTCATTTATATCTTGTTTAATCTAAAAAATGTTAATCAAATATATATCATAAAATCCATTAGTATAAATAATATTACTTTGTTTATTTATAATAACATTGTGAACCTATAAAAATATGTAATAAATAATTTTAAAATGTATATATTTTATATGCAAATTAATAAGATGAATTAACTAATTAATGATTTTTTTAAAAAAAATATTTTTACAGATTATAAAAAGATAAATTTGACTGTAAAAAATATGTAATTGATTAAAAGAATAATTATATTTTATAAATTTTATTAATAGTTGGTATAAATAAATAGATAATTTATGATGTGACTAAAAATCTTTATTAAATTTTATGTTTAAAAATATATTTTTTATATTATATGAAAGATTGACTGACCATCTCAAAAATGAATGAAACAGTATGTTAGTTATGTTGTAAATGTTAATAAAATCTGGAAAATATTGAAAAAGAATTAAAAAATTCCAAGTTTTTTTGTATTTTTGGTAAAAATAAAAAATTAACTTGGTAGGAAAGGGATTTTTTTTGGGTGTTGATATTCTCTAAAAATGTTTATCACCTTTATATTAATATATTTAATAAAAAATCTCAGCCATTTTTGTTTTTTATTTTATTAAAATTTTTATTAGTGTTAACCCTTTCGTGCTTGACATATTTCCCGTGAACAAAAATTTTTTCTTTTCTAAAACTGAGTTAAATAAGATGCAAATAACACATTTATAACGTTTTTTATTTTAAAAAGTATATATATATAGAATTATAAAACGTTATCAATTGTCATCATTGGGATATTCATATGTAAAAAAATATACAATTTATTTTGAATGATAAGAAATAAAACAATTGCGACTTTTATTTAAACATAAAGATATTTTACATTTTAAACATTCAAATCTGGTATAACCATTTTTGCAATTCTTGCATCTTTGTCTGTTAGCCGCCAAGGGCCATGGCCTATTTTATCGAATCTAATATCTGGGATTGGATGAAAACTATTCAATTTCTTTCTTTTTTTTCAATCTTCAAATTATGTTTACCTTCTTTTCCATAATATTCCTTTCCAACCATCATTAATCCTTTAGTTATCCGAGCTTTAAACGCTAAAAGAGATATATATTTATCATCTTTCTGTTTGATGTGGCGTCTATAGAATAACCACGAATTCACCACACAGGAATCTAATAAATGAAAGAAAATTTGCATGTAAAAGCGCTTCCATTTCATGTCAATTCTGTATAGTTAAATTAACATATCATGGAGATCCACTTCGCCCATACCAGCATTATAATCTTGAATTATAGCCGGAATTTCGACATTAATAAAAGATTTTTCAGATACCGACCATCTTTTCGTTTGTGATGTGGGATTTATACCAAATGATGATATCGTGATAACCGATTTGTTATCAAACCATTTGCAAATTATAATATTATTATTAGAATCCACTTTTTAATCAAGGGACCCTCTTCCTTTTTTCTCTAAGATTTTATCATCAACCAGATGGCATCCTAATAATCGATTATATCTAATGGTCCCCGACATGATAAAGCCATTATCTTTGAGCGCAACTGCTAAATTATATGAAGAAAAAAAATTATCTATGTAAATTTTATTTTTTTTATGTGGGGGAACAGTTTCTAATAGTTGTATAACAATATCTCCGCTAATTCCCATCAAAGTTTTTTTTATATTTCCATTTTCCTAAATATATTTTGAAATCATATAGCATTCCAGATGATCCACATAAAGCGAAAATTTTAATTCCCCATTTATGTGGTTTTGAGCTAATATATTGTTTAAATTCACATTGCCCTTTGAAGGGGACTATCATTTCATCAATTGATAATTTTTCCTCTTATTGAATCTTTCTCATGTTCATTTTTAATGCACATGGTCTTAGTTTGAAAATTTATCGTAACGTAATTAGGCTGGCCCCTAAGGATTATATTATTATTATCATTAATATGAAAGTATTTTCTCAATTTCAAGAATCTGTTTCTTGTCATGCATTGAGAAATTTGAGGAATCACTGTCTCTATAGCCCAATATTGCCTTATTGATGGCTATTTAACAATGCTTGTATAAAGGTGAGTTCCGAGAAATTTTTCAATTTCACTACTATTTGTATTTGTTGATTTGCCAGATAATTGAAAAGAATAAATATTTGTTTGCTCTACTAAATTGTTAATAATATCATCGTCTATAAATTTTTTAAAATATTTGTAAGGCAAAATTTCCTTATCAGGTGGAAGCAAAAATTCTTGTTTAAATTCTGTTTTATATTTATATAAATCCTTATTTCGCCATAGGGTTTTCCTATTACTTGGGATATAATCATTATCATAATTTTCCAGTTCCAACCCAATATCTGGTGAAATATCATAGGTCATATTTAGATCAACTACTATGGCATTTTCAAAGTTCATCCTTCTCAATATCTACATCAGATATATCTCACTCTGGTATAATACATGTTGAGGTCATCTAAAAATTATTTATAAAATTTTTAAAAAAATATAAAAATAAAATTTTCACTTTCTTAACTTTTTGCAAATATTATAGTGGCTGGAAAATAGCCTATATTCAATTCTTACTATATCATATTTTTATTTAATTTTAAAAAATTTATGGAAAAAATTACATAAGAAAATCCCAATGTTACCAATTTGGATTTTCTTTAAAAAATCATATAAAAAATAGTTATTGTTAATTTTTTTTTTACTAAACAATCTATCATAAAAATATTATTTACCTTTGATTTATATATATTTATATAGAATGGTAATCGACGTAAAAGTGTAAAAATTTTGGCGCCTAAAATACCTAACTTTGAACTTATATTCTGATATAATAAAATAATGATTTTGACAGGTTAATGATAAAATATGAAAGAATAAATATTGTTTTGTAAATTAATGTGTCTAAATAGCAACCATTCGTTTTTTAAATATAAAAATTAATTGATTAAAAATTTTGATGACAAATGATCTCGCTGGGCGCGAAAGGGTTAAAAACAATTGGTATAACATCTAAATATGTATTAATACAATAATTTCTAAAAACAATAAATTTAAAATTAATTAAATTAAATTTCTGGTGGAATTAATAGCACTATAAAGTAGACCTTCAATTGCCGGGCCGGCCCGAATGCCCATTCCCGGCCCTATTATATTTTCTAGCGGATTTCATCAGGGCCTGGTTTTTTAAAAAAAATTTGATGGGCTTGGGCTGGGCTGGGCTTGGAATTAAAACTAATATATTTAAATTTAGATTATTTAAAACAGTTGCTAATTTAATGAAATATTGCCTTTTTTTTCTTCTAATAATAATAAATTTCAGTGTTGTAAACAAAATGTTTGCCTAAATATATTTAAATATTTTTAATTTTCATATTAAATATAAAAAAATTAAATTTTTGTATATGGGCTTCTCTGGGCTTGGAAAATTTTTGTGAAACTAATTATGGGCTTGGGAATTTTTTTTTAACATTACATATGGGCCGGGCTTGGGGCTAAAAAATTTTTTTACTGCGGGCTTGGTCAAAAAATTAAGGCCCATGAAGGTCTCTGCTATAAAGAAATAAAAATTAGATTTAAATGCTTAGCTCTAGAAATAAAACCATTTCCAAATTTTCATTAGTTCTTAAAATGGGGATCCAATAGAAATTAAATAGGGAAGACATTTTATTCGTATTATTGTCCTAAAATAAATAAGCGGAAGTATATATTTTATTCATTTTTTTTTTGCTTTAGCTTTATAATACAATTGAAAATATAAATTACAAATTACAAATTGAAAAAATTATAATAACAAAGTAAATAGTTAGTAAACGATGAATTAGAAAAAAAAATCATAATAACAAAAAAACAATATTGAGCATATATAGTAATATAATAAAAATTACAAACTAAATAAAAGTGAAACCAGCACAATTATTCAAAATCCTCTTTCTCTAATCATCAAGAGAGATCGAATTGATAAAATAAGCATAATTAGCGATAAGAATAGCTATTGCTATTACTGCTGTAATTATCAGCCTTCGCAGGGATCTCCAGAATTTTTCCTGATTAGGCGGCCAACGTCTTTAAAATTTTTATCCAAATCACCATATGTGTTAAAGTGGAGCAGATGAGGTGATCTTAAAATTTTGAGCTCTCTTCATCCTTGTTAAAATTGAAAGGGGATTTCGTGTCCAAACAAAAAAATCCCATATTATAAACTTTCCTATCAGAACCCCTACCATCGGGAAAGAGACCAGAAGGCTTCAATGAGGTAGGAAAACCAGCTGATAAGTGCAAGAGATATGATTTGATTGCACCTAGAGTGCCGGGTTTGCTGACTGGGATTACGATTTCAATGTAAAGGATGAAGCGCCATATTGTCATCATTAGTATGACATTTGCTGCATTTATATGGTAATGAAAAAGGAATGTTGAACCTGTTACATAGAACATAAATGAGCTCGTGATTGTCCAATTCAAGTTTAAGATTCATAGATGAAATAACAGATAAAAATTCATATCCCCGATCCTTGATAAGTTCAATGATTGTATGTGGTCCTAGCCTAAGGTGAGAGACTCGAAATAAGGTAAGCAACGGAGTTTTTCACAAGTGGTAAATCCCAATTTTTCTGTTTTACAGAGATTGGAAATATTGTTGTGGTTGTGACGGATTTTGTCCACTCCGTTTTAGAATTGCCCTAAATTATATATAGTAGAATTTTATATTAATGTTTTACCTATAAAAAATTCCCATCACCTTCAATTTTCACCAGGATGGTGGGTTCACCAAGTTGTTTCCCTTATTCTACATCTGACAACATTTGGGAGGCTTTAGACCATATATTTTAGCATGATATTT